AAAAATACATTAACTGGAAAATTACTTACAGGGCATCCCTGCTGTAAGTCACCCTGGTATACATCCATTATGCACTAAAGTAATTGACGCTTGTAGGAACTGATGCATTATAAGTCCTCCCATTCCCCGTTCTTAAGTTGTGCAAAAAAAAACAAAACCCCAATTTGTGCAAATAGAAGTCAGTCGTGGGAAAAAAATTCCCACTTTAAATTGTTTCACTATAAAGTCCAAGTTTTTTTAGAATGTATCATGGACTTATAACAAGACGGTCTGTCCTGTAATGAGAGCCATTCCCAGTCCCTATTCAGACCCACTGTAAGGGTGTCAAATTTGCATAGGAATTCCGTAACTGAAACTGGCATGATTTTATTGCCTTATTTTTAGAAATAAAATTTGAAGAATTTTAAAATATTTTGGCACAGAATTTCCCCAGGAGTAAATGGAGCTTCAAGCAAAAGTTAATACAGCTTGAGGTTGCACTAAATGTTTAGCTAAGAGTCTATAGTCAGAAAGATATGGGGAGAGAGGATTTCTGTATTCCTATATGACCCCATTCTGCATAAACAGTGGAAAACCTACACACAGAAAGACTTTTCACATGCAGAGAAGCCCTGAAAAAAGAACCAAACGTGCTGTGGAGGAGACTATTTAAACTCCCTGATCTGATTAGGTTAATACACAAATCCAGCCTCAACACCCCAGATGTTTGCAAAAACTTGTGGCTCCAAAGGGATCTAGCAGAACCAAAAGTAGATTTCTCAAAGATGGAAATTCGAACTTCTCTCTCTCTCTCCCCAATTGTATTTCTCTCCTTATCAACTTAGTACATATGATTTCTTTGTTTATTTTAGTCCAGCTCTGTGCAAATACATTTTCACTTTGCTGGCAATTTAAAAAATTATTTCAGGTGGAACTGAAAGCCATTTAAAAATGTTCAGTATAAGAATGTAAGCAACTAATCAACTAGTCGACTATCCAATAAGCAAAAGCTTATCGGATAGTCGACACACTTATTAACTAGACACTTCTCCCCTCCGCCGCCCCCTTGCTGCTTCTATCACAAAGAAGAGCAGAGGGTGCAGGGTGGAGCTGGCTTTTAAGCCGGCTCCCCCCCAGCTCCAGCTCTGTGGGAGGGGGAGGGCCCAGCGGTAGCGTTCCAACTTTCGAAATGTTCAAGAGCCCCTATTGGGGCTCTTGAACATTTCAAAGGCAGAACACTGGGCTAGTCTTCATCCACTCATCGAATAGTCAATGGAAATCCCATCGACTATTCGATTAGTTAATTAATCGAAATTTAACATCCTTAGTTCAGTGAATCGAAACATGAGAAAAAAATCACTTGGCGTCAAATAAAGTTAGATTTCAGGTATATATTTTTAATACAATTAAAGGAAATTTCTAAACAAAATAATTTTGAAAAGAAAAAATGAAAGCTTTTGTTTACAAAATGTCAACAGTTTTCATTTTGACATTTTGTAGATTTTTTATTTGTTTGGGGTGGGTTTTTTTACAGAAATAATTCAGCAAAATTGACAAGAATTCTCAACACTTTTCAGTTATGCCAAATTCTGCATTTTTTTGCTGAAAAACATTTTTGAATGAAAGCTTTTGCCCGGATCTGCTTATGCATTTATTCACAAAAGTCAATCATCGGTACTGATGTAAAATATTTATTTAAATATGTTTAAATGTCAATAGCAAAACCTTTCATTTAAAAATGTCAGTTCTGATTAGTTAGACAGAATCATGATGATTTTATTCAGGATTTTGAAAACCACAGGTCACTGGCCACATAATTAGTAGAATAACTGGCACCAATATTACACATGCACATAAATGCACACCCCATATTAACCCACATTTTGAAAAGTGACTTAGTGATTTGGGATGCTTCAGTTTTTGGGTGGCCAAATGTTAAAGGAGCATGCTTCTCAGAAAGTACTGAGTATCCACCTTCCCATAATTCGGGTCTTTAATGTGACTTCTGTTGGATTCCCAAAAGTTGAGGAACCCAAAGTCAGAAATTCCTCTGAAAAAATAGGTCCTTTCATTAGATTAGATTGATATTATCCTTACTACTATACTATTCAGTTTTTAAAGATCATTTATAATGGGGCATGATACATTTTTTTTAGTTTCACTTCTGCTGCTAGAAGCTATTCCAGAGATCTGAAATTCAGCCCCATTTATCAGCTGACATCAGCCTAACTTCAAAACTTTGTCTTCCTCAATTAAGAGATCCAACATCTGGAAGGCACATGGGAAGGGACTATTAAATGCACTTTTTTCTTTTCCCCATTCCAAACTGCAGCAAAAAACAAGTTAGGGAAATTCTCAAATGCTTTTCTTTCTGTATTCATAATCTCTGTAACTAGCAATTTTAATACTGATATGACATTACGTGCAACTCCCCACCCTGGGGGTCAAGCCTGACCTTCCCAAATTAAATGCAGATTTAAAAAAAAAAAACACAATTTAAATAAAGGATTCCGTTTTTAGCCACTACGCTATATAAATATATATATATATAGACCAGGGGTGGGCAAAAGGGCCTCTTGGGGCCAAATCCGGCCCACCAAGCAACTTGATCTGGTCCATGGAAGCCCTGCCACTCCCCCTTCCCCTAGGCCAATCATGTGCTCCCCCCCTGCTGTCCCCAGGTCAATCAGGGCTGAGGGGTGGGCGGAAGCGCACAAAGTCTCCTCCTCCCCCCCCCCCATCTTGCAAGGAGTGTTTGGTGTTTAGAAGTGCCACGCCCCTCACAGGGCAGGAGGAGACTTTGCACGCTCCTCCCGCCCCCAAGCAACTTAGGGCTTGGGGGCAGGAGAAGCACATGCAGTCTCCTCCCACCCTGCGAGGGGCTCAGCAGTTAAAGTCAACTGCTAGGTGACGCTAAGCACTGCACTGTCTTGCAGGGTGGGGGCAGGGAGAGAGAGACTTCATGTGCTCCCCCTCCCCAGGCCCTGATTGACCTGGGGGCAACAGGGGGGAGCACGTGAAGTCTCCTCCCACTGCCAGGGGCACAGGCACCTAGAGGGAACCACCAGCTGTTCAGAACAGCTGGCGATTCTCTCGGGGAGGGGGGGGGGACAAGACTTTGCGTGCTCCTCCATCCCCAGACCAATCAGGGCCTATGGGTGGGGAAGCATGGAAGTGTCTTGGCTCTGCCCCTTCCACATGAGGCCTTGCCCCTTCCGGGGTGGCCCGGGACAACTTCAAAAATTTCTGAAGTGGCCCCCAGTCAAAAACTATTGCCCACCTCTGATATAGCTAAACCCCTTTACAAAAAATATTTCTAAATAACCTTGGATTTGATTCATTTTTTTAAATTAACTTTTCAAAGTACAATGCACTTATCTGAATAGAATCATAAATCATAGAATCCTAGGGCTGGAAGAGACCTCAGGAGGTCATTGAGTCCAGCCCAAAGCACGACCAATCCCAACTAAATCATCCCAGCCAAGGCTTTGTCAAGCCCGGACTTAAAAACCTCCTCTACCACATATCCCATGTTTTGCATGGGGGACAGCCATCTCCTTGTTCATTTGAATTGAACGGTAGTTGTTGCTTCACTAAGGGCATGTCTACACTAGGAAATTATTTTTGAAATAACTAAATTTGAAATAGTAACTCCTGAAATAACAAAATTGAAATAGCTTGTCCCCAGTACGGGGAAGCCTCGAAATTAGTCTGGGGTAGGCTCTGTGACTGGATGCACTACCTCGACTTAGAGCCCCAGAAAGCACTGGGGAGTAATTACTTTGAGTTACTCTGGAGAATAGTTATTTCAAAACTAAATAGTTCCATAAATACAAGAGCTAAAGCCCAAATGGAAGATCAAGTCAAAACACACATTTATGTACAGTAAATATTTGAATATTTTAGTTTGAGGGGGAGTGTTCAGAGTTGAGCACTATGAAAATTTCAAAAGCAAATCATGACTGTTATTAGTCAGAAGGGAGTGTTATGCATGGCAATGCATTACTGAATACACAGTCTGTGATTAACTTTCAAATAACAGGTTATCTGACAATCAATTATTAAATGCCTAGAATGCTGAGAGGCTTCTGGATAAAACAAGCATTTTACATTCACAATCAGTGCCAGATCATTTGGAGTATAACTCTGAAGATTTTTAAAGGATCTGTGCTTTCTAAAGAAAGAGGATTTGAAAACTAAGGGACTTCTCTTGAGGCTAATGTAAAAACTCCAGTTGCACTGACTGGAAGGATCGGGCCCTACTAGTATATGGCTACACATGACTTTTCCTGAAGGGAGTCCCATCATTGTCAAACCAATGCAGCACAATTGTGGAGAGCAGCTATTAATAGTGGCTGCCTGTGTTCCCAGCACCACAGGGGAGATATGGTGCTGTTCCTCTTGCAGGTGCAGCAGAGAACTCAGAGGAGAGACAACAGCTTTAAATGATCTTGGCAGATGTGTCTAAATTACAGCCTCACACCAGTCATGTCCCTCAGTTCCAAGTGCTTGTGAGAGGGTTTTCAAGGGGCAGCCTTATAGCTGTCTTTGTGCTGCCTGGGAATGAGCAAAAGTCCTCCCTGGCAAGGGACCGGGGCTCTTAGTGCCCCTTGTCACCTTTCCATCTCTTTTATGAAGAATAAAGGAGTTAGAACAAGACATAATGATCTCACCCCCATGTTGCCTAAACTCTCTCAGAACAGTTCTACACAACTGAAACTAGCAACACGGGAAAATTACAAATAAAGATATGATATACGTGCGCGCGCACACACACACGCTCTCTCTCTCTCTCTCTTTTCTCTCCAGCATTCACTTACCCAGTATGACCTAAATTCTGAATTGAAGTAGTGAAATGATTTAGGCAATCCGGCCAGCCTTGATAACAGTAACATTTCTAGATCTGTAATCACTCCAAATGTTTCAATCTGTTGCCAATTAGGAACAGATAACACATCTCTCCCCTTTACTTGGAACAGAATCATGGTGAAGGAAAAAATAAAAAGCCATTAAGGTCTGACCTGATTTCTCTGCGCTATCTTCTCTCCCTTCTTCCAACGGAGAATGGGTTTGAGGGCAGGTAGCTCCTTCTCCTTTCCCAACACGTGGTCCCCAAGACTATATGCCGCTTCAAACACAATAGGGGATATCACATCTTTCACTCGTCTCTGTAAAAGGAAATGAACAAGAGAATTATTTGCCTATGACCATCTCCACGAGTTCCCTGTTCTCCTGAAGTCTACAGAGAGCTTGCTACTAACATCAATGAAATCAATGAAATCAAAATAAATAAATCAGGCCATTTGGGTAAAATGCAAGGACCGAACATTAACAATGGAACTAATGGGACCAAACCATAAATTCTGTGATATTCAAGAGCTTTCAGATTCAGGACTTTGGATCTGAGTCATCTTTAGTTAAAAGCTGTCAGATGCAGAAGCAGCACATTTGTAATGATGAGCTCTCCCATCAGAAAGAGAAAACTCTTGTTTTGCTCCTGTTGGGAAAATGAGTGGACACTACAGACAGAAAATTTCACAAGATCAGTGGTAGAAATTTTGTCTTTTATACACTGCCCTGAAATTGACCTTACCCTGGCAGAAACACCACCTTTGGAAAGAGGGGGGCTGACAACTTTTTTAACCATGGAGTTCGTTGCCTTACAACAAAAAAGTCTTGGCCAGGTATACTAAACTGTGCCACACTGCTTACATTTGGAGAGAACAATTCTTTAATATGGATTCCTTGGGCGTTAAACCAAGGCTGCCAAATTCATGCCACCTTGACACCTCAAATGGAGCCTGAATCCTGTTTCCTGTGAAAAGGTAGGACTAAGCATTATTTACCACACTATTTAATATAGCTTTCTTATATCAGACTTCTGAATATCCGTATGTACGTAGAGAAACATCAAATGTCTCAGATTTCCATAGACAAATATGTCTTTTGAATGTTTATACAATATAAACAAATATGAGTTTGTTTATCCAATTAAAATACTTGTTATGAATTGGATGCATATGAAACTGAGGAAATAAACACACTCCCTTGAGACCATGTAAGCAAAGCTTACAGAAAGGCCAAGTCCCCGGTCGTGACCAGCAGCGGTCAAAGGTCTTTAGTGAACAGAGGCTGACAATAACGACAAATTATGTAGCTATATGATGTGATCAGCTCTCCAGACATGGAGTGCTAGTGCACTAGCCCAGTGTTGCAAGTAGCCTGTTTAACATCTGTTTTGAGGCAAGCATTAGTGCTTTGCTAATCCTTTGACTGGATCAGAGAAACCTCCTAAAATCATTCTGAGTTTAGATTCTAGACACAGTAATAAAATACCAGCTCATATCCACAACCACTGGGCACATAGTTGGATGGCATTCTACTGTACTTCCAAACCTCCAATAAGCTTCTATGGTTGATCCACTACCAACCCCTGCAAATATCCTTGGCAAGTCAGGTTACTGTAACCTAAGCTTAAGCTCTCTGTAAGCTGTAAGCTCTCTGAGGCAGGGACCATTCCTTTATTTTTTCTTAGATCACTTTGAACACCTTTGGATCTATACTATATACAAATGTTAAATAATAAAAGTGCCAAAACCTGCATGGCTAATGGAACTCCAATAATTACCACATATATAATGGTTATTAAAACAGTATTATAGAAACATACAGGCACCCCATATACACATCTAAGAAAGTAAACGGAGACTATGAGGAATAAATCCATGTTACAAACAGCAAAACAAAATTTCCTGCTAAATCACCAATCTTACTAAGTTATACCCAGCCACCTGTGTAAACACTCACAATTAACGGCACAAGTAATCGGATAAAACTTACAGTTCTTCCAGCCCTACTAATGTGATATGGCTAGATCAAGTTCTTATTGACATCAAAACATTAACATGAACCTTTAGAGTCTAATCCAATGCCCTTTGAAGTCAATGGACATAATTTGATTCACTTCAATGAATGTTGAAGTGAGCCCTTATTGTTCATTGATGTCTCTTTCTACTTTCTTTCAGTGACGAAATTTTGTCTTCCAGCAGCTAGATTAATTATGCGTGTGGATATTCCCTCAGCATAGCCCCAGGGAAATATATTTCACATACCCACTTGTCTTTAATTAAAGCCGATAAAGTGAATCCTGTCCAGCTATTAATTATGCCACATGTTCTGCTCTTTCTACTCATATTCTTACAGAGACACTAAAAAGATTTCCTAGAGGATACTTACATTCAAAACACAGCAAGAAGGCAATTCTCTCCTCAGATACCACATGTACTTATCTGGAACATAACTACATTATGATGCTTTGAAAAATGTGCCCAAGTATATTAAAAGGATTACTGTTCTTGTAGTTAATCTCACTTTGCCCCTCCTCCTTGGTCTAGCTAAACATTTCATTCCTGGCACTTGAATCATACTCTGATGGTATATGCTCCAGGCTCTCATTAAACCCCGAGTGATTCTGATTCCAAAAGGAAATGTGGACATTTTGATGACAGCCAGGTTTGAGGAAAACACTCAAATCAAGCTCCTTAAATCAAGACAGCTTCCTTTTTGTTATTTTTAATAATTTAAACAATAAATAATTGAAATTAAGACTAACAACAAACAGGATGGCAAATAGCTCTGTGGCTTTGCTTTTTTATAAACTGATTTATTAGCAGGGCTTTTCAAGATGCAAAAATTGTGTGCCTTTTGATACTCTGTCAGCATGGGCATATTGTGGTGAAAAATGGCAATCTCATTAATCCAAACAGTTTCAGCAGACATCACAACCACAGTGACAAATGGGTTCAAATAATCAAGAAAAACAACTGTGCAACAGATTTGGAGGAGGAGGAGGAGAAAGAAGAAATAACTAGGACTTCCGGTTTTTGTTTGTTTGCTTTGGTGTTGATTCATTTCAATTGTCAGGCTTTATTTTTGAGTTGTATGTAGATGTCCTAAAATAGGGAGTTTTAGGGCTCTGTTTCTGTTTGTGCTGTAATGAGCAATGCATATTATAGCTTGTCATACAGTATATACTGCAATAAGAGCATAAGAACAGACTGGGTCAAACCAAAGGTCCATCTAGACCAGTGTTTTGTCTTCTAGCATTGGTCAATGCCAGGTGTCTCACAGGGAATGAACAGAATGGACAGCCATCAAGTGATCCATCCCCTATTTCCCAGACCCAGTTTCTGACAAACAGAGACTAGAGAACCCATTCCTGCCCATCCTGGCTAACAGCCACTGATGGACCTATCATCCATGAATTTATCGAGTTCTTTTTGAACCAGCTACAGACTAGGGATATTAAATATTGGTTAACTGAGTAGTAACCTCATGAATTCTTATCAGTTAGTTGCCTATTCTATAGCCCCCGGGGGCAGACCCAGCAGCCAGTGCACTCCGGCTCCACTCCCAAGGAGCCCCCTGCCACCCTGTGCTGCTGCCTTTATATTAGAGGCAGCAATGTGGGGTGCCAAATAGGAGCTGGTCTGTGAGGGGAGCCAGTTTAAAAACCAGCTCCCCTTGTGGACCAGCTGCTTATCATCCCATGCTGCTGTCTCTGCTGCCTCTGATACAGAGAAAGCAGCACAGGATGGCCGCAGCCCCTGTCCAGGAGGGGTCTGAGCTCCCAGACCTGGCACAAGCCGGAACTGAGCTGGGCTGCCTGCCTAGCTCGTAATACACTTTAAAAGAAGAGCTGCAGCAAGAACAGGTCCCGGACCCAGCATGAGCCAGGACCGAGCTAAGCTGCTGGCCAGCCTGCTAAAAAATTTACTGGCAGGAGGAGAGGGGAAATGCATGTAGTCTATAGCATTAACAAATGAGGTTTTGCTTATCGGTTAATCAGTTATTCAACTACACTATTACATCCTTATTACAGACCTGATTGTCACAACAACTTCTGGCAAGGAGTTCCACAAGTTGACTGTGTGTTACATGAAGAAATACTTCCTTTTGTTTTTTTTTTAAACCTGTTATCAATTTCATTTAGTGACCTATAGTTCTTGTAGTATGGGACCAATAACTTTTCCTTATTTACTTTCTTAACACCAGTCATGATTTTATCGATCTCTATCAAATCCCCCTCTTAGCATTCTTTTTTCTAAGCTGAAAAGTCCCAGTCTTCTTATTCTCTCCTGATACGGCAGCTGTTCCTTATCCCTAATAATTTTTGTTGTCCTTTTTCCAAGCTAGGTCAGAATCATTAACTACATTTCTGGATGAGGCAAACAACCCAGCGGGTAGGGCTGCCAGATGGTTTCAACAAAAATACCGGACACACTTGACATTACATCACAATCTACATTATATCTTATTTAGAAAATACCAGACATTTATATTTTCTCATTTACAATTTCTCAGTTTGTTTCCTGAACAGAAAGCTCGTGGAACGAGGTGTACCGGTAGTTCGGAATAGGAAGCCTAATCCGAACTACCTACTCCGTGCCGCATGTAGCCGCGGGCATGGAGTCCGAACTAGCGGGGCTTTAAAAATGGCGGCGCCCGGTAAGATGCAAATGAAGCCCGGGAAATTCAAATCCCAGGCTTCATTTGCAACTTCGGTTGCCTACATTAACCATCCTAGTTCAAACTAGGGTGGTAGTGTAGACATACCCTTGGAATGTAGCAAGGCTGTATAATTAAAAACAAAAAACAAAAAAAATAAAATAAAAATCATTATGTTCCCAAAAGCTCATACTAACAGAAAGCAGACTGCTCTTCCCTCTCCCAAACAGATACCACAGGGAAAAATAAAAATTGTGAGATAATAATGCCTAGAAAGAGCTAAAATCTGGCACTATTAAATATTTCTGCATTACCTTCCCTGGTTTTGCAGAGAAAGCAGGTGAATTTCGTACAAACACACACACCTCATTATCATAACAAACTTTCCTTGGCTTCATTATAGCATTGGTATGGGGAACATTACTAATAAGCTGGACCATAAGTGCAGCTTGATGATCACACTTTGACTGCAAACACAGGACTTTTTATTTCAACACATTCCCTGGTAGCTGTAATTGAATTAATATATTTTTAAAAGCTCATTCTCTAAGGCAGCAGGTGGTGGTTAAAAGAGATTATTCTTTCTGAGCCTTTCACATGCATAGCCAGACACCCCAGGACAGCATAAATAAAGGAACACACAAACTTTCTGCAGAAACAT